AAAGGAGAGATATGAGAAGGTTCCGCCCTCCCCTACTTTTTTAGGGGTGGTATACTATGAGTATAGAACATAGCATGCAGTTCCTCGCCCCTGCACCTCTTCCCCCCCTACACATACACACAAACACACACGGCATGGGTATCAAGCCTATTTTACAGATAGGAAAACAGAAGGGATTCAATCTGAGTTTTTCTGATTTCCAAGTCTGGACATTATTGACTGCCCGGTGCTAGCTAAGGTGCTAATAACCACTCTACCAAGCAAAGCTAAGTACAGGGGAGAAAGAGCAAATGTCCAGTGAAGGTTCCAGGGGCAGGTGCAGCCCACTCAGGTATCTCTAGGATAGGTCACATGGAACAAAGGTAGGCTATAAATACCAGAGAAGTTGTTCCCCATGGAAAAAGATGATATTGAAGAGTCCTAAATCTAATCAAAGGCAGCAGGAAATACAATTCACTGTCTCTAGGCAAGCCTTGGGTACATTGAGATGATGGCTGTAACGGGAAATTAGCCCATTAAAGGTTGGGATTTAAGTGACAGTTAAAGGGGCAGAGCTGGAGATGAGGAAGGAAGGACCTGAAGGCATCTCTCCCAGAGAGGCCAAGGCTAGAACACAATTCACAGCAGTAATGGCCAGGTCTAAGAAACTGGGCAGTTAGCCCCAGGCAGGAACATTGCTGATGTGGCCAGGAGCTGATGGCTCCCATGGGCTGGGAGGAGGGAGAAGTGAATTTGGTTACAGCATGAATGAAGGCTCAGTGGTGGGAGCTAATGTCCCCTTGGACTGGGAGACAGTGGGCTGCATCGCCTCACGATAAAAATGCCTAGAACTGAGTCTGGTGTTGCAGATCAGGAAACCTTGAGACTGTGGAGGCTGAGGTTAGTGTATCCCTTGAACCTTGAGGTTCTGAGATGTAGAGGACTAAAGCCAAGTGGGAGTCTGTGCTAGGGCAACACCAGTATGATCCTCCCAGGGGCTACCAGGCTGCCTGCGGAGGAGTGAACCAGCCCAGGTCAGAAACAGAGCAGGTCAAAGCTGTCGAGCTAATCAGTCTGGTGTCTCGGGCAAAAGCGGCTGCTGTACTGTGTGTATATGGGGGTGGGAGGGTGGCGTATAGAGGGAGCTAATGTCCCTGGGCATAGGTAGCTAACATTCCCACGTACAGGGATCCAGGGGAGCTGAATCTGCTCATGATGATGACATGTCCCCACGGTGGATGGTGGAGAGCTTAATATTCCTGCGGTGTAAAGCAAATGTCCCATGTTCCTCTAGTCAAGAGTTAATGTCCCCACAGTGGAGAGCTGACATTTTCATAGGAGGGGGAGTTAATGTTTAGCCCCATGGATGGAGAGAGTGATGTAGACCTAGCTATGTGGAAAGCTATTACTTCCATGCTGGAGAGCTCCCATTTCTGAGGGGGAAGCCAGTGTTCCCATAGATGAGAAGCTAACATCTCCACAGTGGAATGCTACAGAGATCTATCTTCTATGTACGAAGTTTGTTCGTTGTGTCCCCCTGCTCTCCCACTAGGATGAGATCTCCCTGAAGGCAGGGACTGTTGTTGCCTTTCTTTGTATTCTCAGTACTTAGCCTAGTGCCCACATGATCATAGTGAGAACCTAATGAAGGCTTTTGGACTGATTTGCCATTTGCATTCAGGGACTGCTAATGCTCCCAGTATGAGAAGCAAGGTGAACTGTGCCTGCCCACATTGGACAGCTGATATCTCTATGGTACAGAGCTAATATTCCTTCATTAGAACAAATGATGCCATGGATAGGGAGCCAATCTTCCCATTCTCATGAAGTAGAAGAAATGTTTGCATGAGTGACTGATGTTCCCAGTGAGAGAAGCTGCATCTGCCCAACCCTCGCCAGTAAATGTTTCTAAAACACAGATATTCTTTGGGTGCGTGGGGGCCCTACCAGGCCAGCTACCAGATCAAACATTCTCACAGATCGATAACTAAAATTCCCATGGCGGAGTGGTAGTAATGTTTTTAAGGCAGAGCCTGGCAAAGAGGCATGACAGATAGCTCTTGGTGGAGAGTGACCTTGTGAGCAATGGCTCCAAAGACCAGGAGGATCCCCATGGGTACTGCCTCCTAAACAGGGAAAGTGAGGGTATGCCTAGTAAGTAATGCACCTGAAATGTTTGTGAACTAGAGGCTTGGAAGGCTTTGAGGACTGGTTGAGGCTTGTTGAGACAGGCCTTCCCATCCCCCCTTCACCATGTCCCTTCCTGGTAAGAAGAGCTCATGGACCTTGGGAGGCAGCTGGTGGGAGCAGCCCTTCTCAAGGTCAGGCCTTCTTCCTCACTCCTCTCCCTTGTTCTTCTGGGCCAGCCATATGCTGAGGAGTCTGGGTCACTCCTCCTAGCTACTCTGAGCTCCTTTCTAGGAGAAGGCTAGGACCCAGGGCTTCTATGCCTGGGTGCCAGCAGGTGGGGCAAGGCCTCTAGACTTGGATACAGAGGGGCCCTACCAGGACAGCTATCAGGCCAGTCTTTGGCATGGGAGCGGTTAACTGAGTTTGTCATCAGAAGCACTGGACCCTTCGGCTGTTTCATTTCCCCTGCTCACTCTGATAATGAGATTTCCCGGTAGCTCTGGGAAAGGCAACAGTGTGGGCGCCTCTGGCCATAAGTGCCTTTGATCAAAGGAACAGTATCCCATGGTCCCATAGACCCAGGAGCGGGAAAGGAGCTTAGCACTCATCATTTACAGAGGAAGAAAGTGAGGGCCAGAGAAAGGGACTGAGGCCCAAGGTCTGGGAAAATCAGAAACTCACCGCACAGAATAGGAAAAACTAAGTGACAGTCTGGTATAGTGGACAGAATGCTGGACTTGGGAGGCAGAAAGCCCAGGGTTCAAAACCTGCCTCAGATGTGTAGCATGTGGCCTGGCTTGAGATGCATGTGGATGTCTGTCATGCCGAGAAGGGGCCAGACTGATCTGTGTGGACCCAGATGACACAGCCAGGGATGATGAACAGAGATGGTAGGGGGGCAGCTATTTAGGCTCTGTGGATCAGGCTCCCCTGGCTGGGGGTGTTGTGGACTGGGTTCTAGCCCAGGCAAGGAGTTTAGCAACCCTCTGAGGTCTGTCTAGCTCAGATGCTATGAGGCTCCTGATTTAGTAGGTGATGCTACAGAGAGAAAAGACCATGGTGGGCACAGTGGGATGTCAATATCCCCAGGAGAGACACAAGAACCATTAATGGCAGTACCCCAAGACTCACCATGGCATTGGATCCCTTACTTAGCACTGTGCCTGGCATACAGTAGGCACTTAATAAATGTTTCTTGACTGGCCTGACAGACACCCTCAAACATCTGGTGGGCTATCACAGCTCTGTACCTTGGCTTAGGCCGTTGCCTGTGCTGGCAATGCCTTCCCACTCCCTCTTCACCCACCTGCTAAATTCCTACCCATCCTTTAAATCCCAAGACAAGGGACTCTTCTTCCAGGAAGGCTTCCCATCAGCGCAGCTGACAATGACCCTGCCCTTCACTCACGACCCAGCACTTCATTATTTTAACTTAATATGCACTCATTATTTATGTTATTTAAAACGCACTCAAATGCACTCATTACTCTGAACCGGAGTCGTCTGGATTGGTGTCTTGGTCCTCAGCTAGACTGGGGAGGTCAGAGACTACATCTTCTCTAAACCTAACGCGAAGAAGCGTGGGCTGCAGGCACTGGGAGCATTTTATAAATGCTTGCCTCTACTTCAGGGACAGGATCATATGACTGAGCTGAAAGGCCATCGAGTCCAGCCCCTTCCCTTCACATATGAGGAAACTGAGGGCTGGACTTGCCCAAGGTCACCCAGTAAATCAGGGGCAGTGGCAGGGTTTGAACCCAGGTCCTCTGCTCCCAAAGCCTTTGACCCTTACACTGACCAAAAGGCTTCCCTCCAAGGAAGCATGGGCTACTGGGAAAAGTGCAGGCCTTGAAGATAAAGAGACCCAATCACAGAGTCTGAGAGGAACAGCTCCAGTGGCTGATCAAAGCCTTGTGCCTTGATGTCCCCAGAGAAGGGGGAAGCGCCATCTCCACTCTGGGGCCAGTCTCTTCTGCCTGCTGTTCAGCTTCGGGTGGCCCCTTGACGCTTCCCTCCCATTCCTCCTCGATTTACCCTCTGGGGATCAAACATCCTGGGGCTCTTCCCTTGTCTCAGTGACAGCCCTTGACAGATCTGAAGACCCTTAGCACATGCCCCCAAGTCTTCTCCAAACTGAATACACCTGGGTCCTTCAACTGAATTTTAACCCTACATCTGCCACTGACTCAACATGGGATTTAGGACAAGTCCTTAAGAGTGGAAGAAGAACAAGGGTCCTGGAAATAGTCAGGAATCCTCTGCAAAAAGGGCATCTGGTCTAGAGACAGAGGACCTAGGTTTGAACCCCAGCTCTGCCAGTTAGGACCTACGTGGCTTAATCTCTCTGGGTCTCAGTTTCCTCAACTGCAAAATGAGGGGCTTGAATTAGATGACCCTTAAGGAACCTTCCAGTTCTAGATCCAACAATGGATGACCCCAGGCAAGTCACTTCACTTCAAGCATTTGTAAAATGGGCACAATAATATCTGTAGCAGCTGTTTCCTAGGGTGTTTGGGAAGAGCTTTGTAGACCTCAAAAAGTTAAAAAACTGGACCAGATTTTGACAATGTAGGTGATAATGCAGTGAAAAAATTCCTTCCGTCCATACGGAGCAGCACCTGCTATGATTTGTAGTCGTAGAGAGCTGCCCAAGGTCACCAAGCCAGAATGCATCAGAGGTGGATTCGAACCCATGGCTTCCTGACTCTGAGGCCAGCTCTTTATCCACTTCCATCTCTCATTGTTGGAGTCTTTATCTGACAAATGGGGGCAGCAATCCCTGCCCTCAGGGGCCCCCAAGGACCCAGTAAGATCATGGCTCATAGGTTGGAGATGACTGCCATCCTCAGCCTTCAGAGGCTGGCTCTGCCCCCTGGGGTGGGGTCACCTACCTGGATCATGTACAGCTGGGCGATGCGATACTCCTCCACACTCATTGGAAGAGGAATGCGATATTCCTTTATAAGCATCTTGAAGTCCGAGCCTTCCCGTCTCAAGGGAACTGCAACCTGGGGACTTCTCGTGAAGATTCCTTAAAGAATCACAATAGAATTCATCGAGGACTCCTGCACAGGGGAGAGAAGAGGACCGGATCACTTTCTGGTTTGGGGGCAGGGGTGGGGGACAAGCGTTGCTTGCAGTGGAAAAGCAACCCTAAGCAAGTCAATCAACCTCTTTGTGCCGCTCAATTTCTGCAACAAATACTCAAGTTATGGTGTTAGGAGCTGGGGAAGTCAGTATGGTGTAGTGGATAGAAAGTCCAAAAGTCTTGGGTTCAAGTCCAGCATTTTGACATATATTGGACATGTGACCCCAGGCAACTCATTTAACCTCTGTTACTCCAAGGCAACCTAAGAGGATAGGGAGGCAAAGCAGGTGCCAACTGGCATTGGTAGAGGGAGCTTCCTCTACCAATGCAGGTTGACAGCCTATTGTCATAGAGAGTTGTCTGAGGCAAAGACAAGTTACTTGAGCTGTCCAGCATCAGTGAGTGTGAGAGATAGATCTGGAGCCCAGGTCTTCCTGAAGCTAAGAACAAGAGCTTTACAGACACTAGCTATCCTCCTGGGAGGTTGTGAGGGGGACGACATAAACATGTAAATAGATAAGTATATGCAAGATTAGTTGGAAAGAATCCCAGCTGGAAGGGGGATCAGGAAAGGAGGTAGTTTATGAGCTATACTTTGAAAGAAGGAATTTCTAAGAAGTGCAGGGAAAGGAGGGGCATTCCAGGCATGGGGGCCAGCCTGGGAGGCAAATTGGTTCACAGAAACAGCCAGGAAGCCAGAGTAACTAAGCCTAGATGCCAGAACCTCAAAGCAACTGAGTCCAACTTCCATCTTACTCCTGCCATCTATTACATCTTCATGAGAAAGCCTTTAGGAGTGGTGTGACCCTATAGTAAGCTCTAAGCTTTGGGAAAGCAAACACATGGAGATAACTTGACGAAAGATCAACAGATGCAGAAACAAAAGTGATATTGTATTTGCTGTTTACTAGAAACCTCCAGTGCAGAAAGAAGACAAAGATGAGGAGTTTGGAGATATGGCTCACAAGCTAAGCACAGAGACACAATACTGTCACAAAGGGAAGCTTCAATTATCTGGACTTCTCCTGGAGTTCTCAGTGTGGGCCAAAAGCAAGATAGAGATAGACTAGTAAAGGAAACTCCCAAGTGAGAAAATTCCCTCTACCAGTACAGATCAATCAGCACCTTCTCTGTAGATAAAATAGTCTGCAGGAGTCTGTGAACTTTTTTTTTCTCAATTCTGATAATTTCATTTCAACATAATTGTTTTCCTTATGTATTTTATTTTTGCATTTAAAAACAATTCTGCCTGAAAAAAGGGGTCCCTGACATAAAAAAGGTTAAAAGAGTTGCCTAGAGCATTGTGGTCTAAAAATAATAATAATAATGATAACAATAACAACAACAACAACATTTATATAAAGTGCTTTATAATGTTTATATACAATGTTTATAATATATATATATAATGTTTATAATGTTATTTCATTTGACCTTCAAAAAGTCCTTGGAGAGGGCAGCTAGGTGTTGCAGTGGATAGGGCACTGGCTCTGGAGTCAGGAGGACCTGAGTTCAAATCCGGCCTCAGACCAAACACTTGACACTTACTAGCTGTGTGACCCTGGGCAAGTCACTTAACCCCAATTGCCTAAAAATTAAAAAAATTTTAAAAAAAAGTCCTTGGAGAAAGGTACTATTATCATCTCCATTTTACAGATGTGGCGACTGAAGCTAAGAAACGGTAACTGACTTGCCCAAGGTCACATAGCTACTTAGTGTCTAAGGTTAGATTTAAATCCAGGTCTTCCTGACTGTAGGTCCAGCCCTCTTATCCAGCGCCCCATCTACCCAGGGTCATACAGTCAATGTGTGTCAGAGATAAGACCAGAACCCAGGTCTTAAAGACTCTGAGAAGTTAGCTCTCTGTCCAGGACATGCTGCTATTTTGCCAAAACTAGGGATTTCTTTTTTAAATCCACCCATTCAACAGAGGAAGAATATTTTAGTTTGCAAAGCCAAGAGAGGGAGATGCAAGTATTGTTAGCCCTATTTCCCAGATTAAGAAATTGGAGTTCCAAGAGGCAAAAATAAGCAATTTTGCCATGGTCCCATTGCTGGTAAAGTATCAAAGTTGGGATGTGAACCCAAGTGTCCAGCCCAGGGCTCCTTCCACAACAAGGCGCAGCTGTGGTAGAGGGGAGTCAAAGAAAGGACCTGCCAAGCTCCAGGGAGTTCAGCTTCATTGCTAAAAATGGTGGATGCCTTTCTCCATTTTCCTACATCCCTCCACCCTGTTAGTGTGTGTTGGGACAGGGGAATGATGGCTTGCACAAGCTCAGTTTTCTCTCCACAAAGGACGGACTGCCAAGACAAGTATAATCACTCATATTGAATTCATGGTCCAATGTCCTGGGCAAGGGCATGGGGAAGGTGAGAGGGAGAAGGGCAGGCCTCAGAAAGGTCTGAGACCAGGCCACCTGCTCAGGCTAACCTTAGGGCAGAGCCTGGCTGCCTTCGCTATGGGGCAAAGCTCCTTTGTGGTTACAAAGTAGGCTCCCATTCCTTGGGTTACTTAGTCTGTAAAAGAGATAATGACACCCTGCCACCCTCCCAAAGATTTGTGTGTAATAATGGATAAAGAGCTGGCTGGGAGCCAGTCGGCAAGTCGAGTCCTGCTTCTGACACATGGCCACTGGGCAACCCTGGGGAAATCACTGAACCCCCCAGTGATCTGGGCAACCTAGCAAAGGCTCTCAGTTGGAGATCTGCCTTGGTAGAGAAAGTGTCCTTACAAGGGAGCTCCTGATAGCACCAAAATCACTGGAGCCCTAAAATGGCCTAAATAAGAAACATTTATTAAGCACCTGATGTGTGCTTCGTGTCTCAGCTTGATCTCACTATAGCCAAGAATCCTTTTCAGATCCCCCTCAGGGCTAATGCCTTGTCTCTGCACATTCTCTAATTTAGCCTGTCTATAGCTTGTTTGGAAGCTCTCTCCTCTATTAGACAGCGAACTCCTCAAGAGAAGGCGCTGCCTTTTGCCTTTCTTTGTATCCCTAGCACTTAGCACAGTGCCTGGCACATAATAGCCCTTCCTCTCTCCCTTCCTTCCTTCCTTCCTTTCATCTTTCTTCCTTTTCTCCCTTTCTTCCTTCTTCCCTCCCTCCCTTCCCTTTCTCCCTTCCTTCTTCCTTCCCTCTCTCTCTCCACCTACCATCTTACATTGTGAACTCACTGAGGAAACAGACTGTCTTTTGCCTTTCTTTATATCCCCATCACTTAACACAGTGCCTGGCACATAGTAGGTCTAGTTTAATACTGCTTGTTCACTCTGCCAGGAACTATGTGAGACACTGGAGATTCAAAGACCAATGGGGGGGCAGCTAGGTGGTGCAGTGGATAAAGCACTGGCCCTGAAGTCAGGAGAACCTGAGTTCAAATCCGGCCTCAGACCAAACACTTGACACTTACTAGCTGTGTGACCCTGGGCAAGTCACTTAACCCCAATTGCCAAAAAAAAAAAAAAAAAGACCAATGGGAAAGAGTTCCTACCCTCAGGGAGTTTACATTCTATTGGAGGAGGGACAGATGACAACATGAACACATATAAGTATATTACAAAATAATGAGGCACAAAGTATAAGAGGTTTTTGGGGTGGGGGGAAGTGACTTGTGTAAGAGGTGGCATTGATCTGAGCATTGAGAGGTAGAGGTCAGGAGGGAGCCAGCCGTCCCAGGCTTGTGCCAATATGGGAGGAGAAGCATCACATAGGAGGCATGGCCAGAAAGTCAGTGTGGCTGAACTTGTGAGGGTGGAGAAGGGAACTAGAAGGGGCACAACCAACAGAAATAAGAAGGTGAGAGCTCTCTTGTACTTTGTGGGGCCTGTGCATGCCACCCCTGGGTAGGCTTTAGCAAGGAATCCAGTGAGGCACCTTGGATGGCAATGGCCTGCTGGTTTCAGCCCCAGGCAGAAGGGATGAAAGAACAAGGGATATCTAGTCCTAGAGAAGGGACAATCACAGGATTACAGATTTAAAGTTTGGAGGGGAAGGGAATGGTGGGATACTTTGGGGAAAGTAAGTAATCAAAGTATAAAACATGAATAAAAATTAAAAGAATAAACGAATCTTTATTTTTCAAGTCAAGTCTAGCATCACCTGGGAGAGAGGCTGACTGATTCCTCCAGAGAAAGAAGCCTCCTTGTTCCCTTTCCCATTTCTCCTGCCTTTCGAGCTTTTCCCTGTGTATTCTTCTCATTCTAACTAATATTATAATTATTCGAGTACACTTTGTGAGCTCCCTGGAGGCAGGAACTGTGTCATTTTTGCTTTAAGCCTCGAATACACTGGAGTCTAGTAAATATCTGTTGAACTGGGAAGGGAGAAAAAAAAAGGTCTAAAGTTGGAAGGAACCTGAGAGTCCACCTGGCCTAATCCAGCCCATTTTCCAAATGAGGAAACTGAAGCTCAGAGAGGTTAAGGGACATTCCCATAGTCAAGCAGAGCAGTAAATGGTAAGGATGGGATTCATACTTAGGTCAGAGGATTATGAATTTAGAGCTAGAAGGGACATTAAAAGTCAGTTGATCCAATTACCTTATTTTAGAGAAGGGGAAACTGAGGCTCAAAGAGGTGACCTTGCTCAAGGTCATAAGTAAAGTGGCAAGACCAGAATTTGAACCCAGGTCCTCTGACTCCAAATCTGAGGACCTTTGCATTGTGCTGGTCGGTGACAGCTGTCTTCAAGCCTTTTAAGGGCTGGTGTGTGGAGGAGGGGTGAGTCTGGCTCCCGCTCAGTGCCACAGGGCAGGACCAGGAGCATGGGGGTGGGGGTGGGGGGAATTGCAGAAAGAACTTGCTCAGAATGGGAGCTGTCCCAATGCGGGATGGGTTGCCTCAGGAGGTGGGGATCTCCCCTTGCTTGGAGTTCTTCCAGCAGAAGCTGGTCAGACAACCATTTGTTGGTTATGTTACAAGGAGGATTCTTCTAGGATTGGCCCACACGGCTACTGAGGTGCCTCCCAGCTCTACACTG